ATGGAACCTAACATAGGAATGATGGTGCAAAACCACGCAGTTCTGTTGTGCATAGGATTGCTTTGAGTCAGAGCTAATTGAATGGCACCTAACAACAATGAGGGCAATGGCAGTTTCATTGCAGAATTCTAGCTTCCATGTAGAAGTCCTGAGGTCTATTCTAGACCAATCTACCTCAAGTGAAACCACCACACATCTGCTAATAGAGGCTTGCATGTTGCTTTGAAGTTGGAAAGATTTCAGGAGGTTTTCCAAACTAAAATGGACTAGGAATAAAGGGCTGGTGATCTACTTCCAAAGGACAGTCAATGAAAGCGTTGTGGACCACGACAAAATGGTTCTATTGTTTAATGGATTATAATGAGCCAGAGCTGACTCAGCTGCAGCTAAAAGCAACAGCATCATAGAATTTGGCACATTAAAGATACTTAGTTGTGCACATGTGTATTTCCTCATTCTTTAACATGAGCTTCTGGAGAGCAGGGCTGTTTCATAATCACATATATATATTTTTATCACCATTGATTTTTCATACTATCATGTTAATGTTAATCAATTAGATACTATAAATGTTAATATATAGATAATATTCTGAAACATTATTATTTGCCTTTAGTGGAGTCCTGGTGAGGTATTGTAGGAGAAGCACTGGACAGCTAACTACAAGGTGGTGGTTCAATCCCACCAGCTGCTTCTCAGAAACACTATAGAGGATCGCTATGAGTCTGAACCAACTCAACAGCACTTGACAACAGAATGATGATAATGTAACAGGGAATCCTGGCTGAAAGTGCAAGTAATTGGATTAATAATCAATAATTTCTCTACTGAATATAGTTCAGGGTATCAGCCAACATTTTCCTGAAGAGCCAGATGTAAATATCTGTGTTTGTACTGTGAAAGGAGCCACATTGTCGTCATCATTAAGTGCTGTCGAGTTGGTTCCAACTCATAGTGACCCTGTGTAGGGTTTCCTAGGAGTGGCTGGTGAGTTTGAACAGCCGACCTTGTGGTTCAAACTGCCCTTGTGGTCCAGTGCTTATCCTACAGTGCCACATCAAGACTCCACAGATTTACATAAATGGATTTGGTACATGATTGTGTTCCAATAAAATCTTATTTTTGGACACTGAAATTTAAATTTCATATAAATTCTATGCATCATAGAATATTACCATTTTCTTTCAACCACTTGAAAATGTAAAAACTACACATAGTGTGGTGCTGTGGGTTAGGCACTGGGCTGCTAACCACAAGGTTTGCAGTTCAAACTCAGTGGTAGAAAGAGGAGGATGTCTGCTCCCATAAAGACTTACGTTCTTGGAAACCCTACATAGGAATCAACTTGAGAGCAATGGGTTTGGGGTTTTTAGCTAGACTGTGAAGCATCCATCTATTATAGGGAAGGATTGATAGAGCCTGAGGCAGATTACAAAGAATCATCTCTTTGACTTTTGCATTTGAAAAGTGTAAATAATGATTCTTCTAAAACATATTTAGAAGAACATATGATTAGTCATACCAGATCTCTAAAACACCACTCCCTTTCTTGCCATAGTCAAGCACTAAAGATCGTTGCATTCTTATTTGAAGATGTGCCATCTTCATCATCTTCATGATCTTGGGGATGTTTGAGTCTGTTTTTGCAGCTATTGTGTCAATTCATCTCATTGTTTCCCTCAGTTCTGCTGACTCTCTACTTTATCAGCCATCTATAGTGCTGGAACATTTGGTAGTCTGAAACTGCGGTCCCTAAGGTTAGCAGCCCGATTCATAATCACTAAGCTACCAGAGCTCCTTTTCTGTAGTGTTTGGTCTCCCCTAATGACATGTACAAAGTGAGCAGAAGACTTCCTGGGTTAAAAGAGAAGGTGACTGGGAAGGGAGGCCAAAAGAGGTTAGACACTGGTAGGTTACTGAGAAGGGCCCTTTTCACTCTGGGTCATGCCCCAGGTTGAGAGAAAGGGGAAGTAGAGATGATATGAGGGAACGTCAAAAGGTACATGGAAAAATGCTGTTTTTCCCACATACTTTTTGAAGTCCTCTTGTAGAACTCCCTTGATTAGTTGAAGATTTTCCCTCTTTCACTTGAGGGTACTCCTCAGAGCTTAGATGCAAGCTTAGATGCAAGAAAAGAGGAATCTCAAACTAATAGAGATTTAGTTTCCACACATCCTCCTCTTCATAATTGAAGACTTAAATAATACAAATTAACTACTATTAAAAAGTAGGATAAACATTGGAATGCTAACAATAAGGTGAGTGGTTCAAACCCAGCAGCCACTCCTTGGAAGCCCTTAACAGGGTCACAATGAGTTGGAATCAACTAGAAGGAGCTCTGGTAGCGTAGTGATTACGAATGCGTTCTGCTCCCGTAAAGATGAACAGCCTCGGAAACCCTGTGCAGGGTCGCTATGAGTCGGAACCGACTCCATGGCACATAACAACAACAATAACAGACATCACTTAACAACAACAAAAAATAGGATTTCCTAGGAGGGGCTGGTGGGTTTGAACTGCCAACTGTGTGTTCAAACTGACTTTGTGGTCCAGTGCATTACCCTGCAGCACCACACAAAAGAGCAAACCCACTGCTGTCAAGTTGATTCAGACTGAAGGTGGCCCTGTAGAACAGAGTAGAACTGCCCCGGGGTTTCCAAGCCTGGAATCTTTACAGAAGCAGACTGTTACAACTTTCTCCTTGTAGCGGCTGGTGGGTTTGAACTGAAGACCTTTCAGTAAGTAGCCAAGTGCTTTAACCATGATGCCATGAGGGTTCCTTTATAACCACATTACTACCAGGTTGGTGGTTCAAACTCACCAGTGGCTCCACAGAAACCCTACAGGGTCACTATGAGTTGGAACCGACTTGACAGCACTTAATGATGATGAAGACACATTAATCATTAACCACAGACAATATACTATTTCCATTGCTTCCTTCAATGACTCCTTTGCGTTCTTGATTGCAGCAATGAGAGAGAATTCTGATGGGGTGCTGGTGGGGTCAGGGTATCACTGAGTCATGTGACTGAACTCACCTGTTACCTGAGCATCCCTGTGTTGACTTGTGAGACACAGACCCAAAAGTATGTGTAGAACTGGAGATATAATGGGCATATATTATATTTTACAAAAAAATGTTTATTTAAAACTTTTATTCCAAATAAATAACTGCTGCTGTTGTTGTTATTGTTTACTGCCATCGAGTCGGTTCCAACTCATAGGGACCCTGTATAGAGTTTCTGAGAAACAGCTGGTGGGTTTGAACTGCCAACATTGTGCTTCAAAGTCCAATGATTATCCTACAGTGTCACACCAGGAGTCTAATAAATAACTAACAGTGTGAAGTCAGTGAATTCTGCTGAAAAAATGTCTTCAAATATATTTCAGCCTTATAAATAATGAAAGCACAAACAGGTTTTGCTTATATCATGACAGAAACGGCACTTAAAGAAATGAAGCAGTGCAGTGGTCTGGCTCTCAGAGCTCATTGTTCTTTATGGAAGTTTTGGTAAATGCAAGGTCCTAAACAATCACCTGCATTGCCTCATTGCAGAATCATCTCTTAACCATTTTGCAAAATTCATCTTCCTGTTTTGAAATTCTGGCAGTACTTGAGGGTATTAAGGACTTAATCTGTAAATATAATGGCGAGAGCCACAGTGGAAAGTAACAACCCCCTTACATGAAAAGCTAATATGAAATAGAGTGCCTTTGAAAGTCAAACCTTTGGCACAGTAAGTAAAAACTATCTTGGATCCCAGGAGACCCCAGATGCAAACCCATCATATTCATGCAGCAGAAAATCTGAGCACAAAGTATAAATAGAGACTTGTGACTATGGAGGCTTGGAATGATTATCTTTCAAGGAACATGACACTCCCCAAATGTACACAAATATTAGCATGAATTCTACATTTTCAATGCATTGCACATTTTAAACATTTATATTAAGATTGACTTTTAACAGAAGAAACCTTGAATGATGGTGATACCTTGTTTTTTGTTTTTAAAAAAAACCTTGGTAGTTTTAATTTTCTTGTTCTGACAAATGTCTTCTCCCAGTTGCAGCATAAATGCATTTCTAGACATATGAGGGGTCTTCAAAAAGTTCATGGAAAATTCCATCTCTTTTAATTCCACTTTTCCACCAACTTTTTGAAGCCCCCTGGTATTGTATGTTTGCCTTTCAGTTATGGTCCCCTTTTCTCAGTAAATCGATTGCTAAATCTCTTATTATAGGGGTTGTACAAAGGTCTTAGTTTCTCTTTTTCAACTAAATCATTATGTTTGGGGTGGTTTCTCATTGTGTAGTAGGTGTACAGCAGATCATCCCAGAAAAATGATTCTTAAGGAGTTTGTTTTTTTTCTCATCTACTTTCTTGTGTTTCTTCTGTTGACTGTTCATAGTTCAACATCCTTAAAGGTTTTATTTTTTCTCTTTTTCATGCACACATCTATACAACAACAGGCACCAACTAACAGTTTAGGTGAAGTCCTGGTGTGACACTGTAAGATAAGCACTGTACTGTTAACCTCAAGGTTGACAGTTCAAATCCACTAGCTGTTCCTTGGAAACTCTATACAGGGTCACTATCAATTGGAATAGACTCGATGGCACTTAACAACAATAACAACAACAACAGTTTAGCTAATGGGCAATTTTTTTCCAAAAGTCACTAGCAAATAAACTTATTTTATCATGTAAGAAAAATTATTTATCTAAGTGTATATTACATTTTGGCTTTCTGGAGACTTACAACCTTGAAAGAGTTATAAATCACCAAACAATATGTACTTCACTTTTCATGTTTATTAATATGGATTTGATTTTTTATAGTCATGCTTTGTGCAAAGTGTCTAATATCTCCTTGTTTCCTAGGCTCTGGAAAAATACCTGGAATATGGTAGGTGCTCCATAGAGTTCTGCAAAATGGACTATTGTTAATTTTAGAAGCAAATCGTATCATTTTTTTCTTGTTATTTGTCTATCTTAGGTCAAAGAAATTGATGCTAATTTCACATACCTGCAACGGTCAGAATTCTATTTGGAGCCAAACACTAAGTATGTATTTCAAGTGAGATGTCAGAAAACAGGTAGCAGGTATTGGCAGTTCTGGAGTTCACCCTTTTTTCATACAACGCCCAAAACAGGTGAATGTGCTTGCCAATTTTATTTTCTTAGGCTTTTCTTTTACCATTTATCTCTCTGCTAAGTAGTTGGATTGATTTAGACTGACTATAGCCTAAGTAATGGTCCTCACTTCATGAGTCGTTAAAAGTAACTGGAGAGATTGTTAAAGATGCATGCTCTAGTCCCTGCTGCTGGATGCTTGAGTCTACAGGCCAGAGGAATGGGGGTGCTCAAGAGTCAGGATTTTTTACAAATATCCTGGGTGGTTCTCAGACATATAATCTAAACTCTCACTTTGAAAAATGTTATTCTAATGAGGAAAAGTACATGCAAAAGTTACATTAAATCTTTCAGGCCATACTAGTAAAATATATTCTCCTAAGTGAGACACATATTAAATCATGTCAGTACATATTGATTATCTAGTGTATGCAAATAATTTAAGAATAATGAAAACACTTAATTTATTACTTATTCATTCTATTTCCAGCAACACAGTCTAGCTGCTCTAATGGTTATCTTTAGATGTTTTCCTATTCCTAATAGTGGTGCTGTGGGCTTATGCGTCAAACTGCAAAGTCATTTGAACTTCTAGGTCAGTGGTTCAAGCTCACCAGCTGCTCCTTGGAAACGCTATACAGGGTCACAATGGATCGGAATCGACTTGACGGAATTTCACAACAACATCAACAATATTATATATTAATTTAAATTTATGCTTATTGACACATGTAGTTTAGTTTAATAAAACCACACAAATAGACTTCAGTACTCAATAATGAGTTGTTATAATATTCCCGAATAATCTCTGTTTCTACCTACTCTAGGTAGCTTATACACTTGATTTTAAAATTGTTTCTTCAAGACTAAAGGATTTAATTTTATATTCTTTATACTATTACTATTATAACATAACACTTTGGAATTGTGTTTTATGTTTTTAAAACTCTTTGACATACATTTCAGGCATTGATGACTACCAAAATTAAGTTAAATAGAAGGAATGAACAGCCAAAGACTAGATGCAAAGCTTTTGGTGCCCCCTAAAGCCCAAATATTAGAAATACATTATTAAGAAACTCATTCACAATACTGCCATAAACTGATATTGTTACAAATTTGTAACATTCAGAATTTAGTTAATAACCAATAATTTTTGCCAAGAAAGAGTATTCTAATTGATAACTGAAGCTTATTACTTATGAAAGATCAGCACTGAACTTCTAACTGCAAGACTGGTGGTTCAAACCCACCAGCTGCTCCTTGAAAACCCTATACAGGATCGCTGATAATCAGAATTGACTCAATGGCATTTAACAACACCTATCCTGGTGCTGTAGGATAAATGCTGGGCTACTTAACAACAACTAAACCAAAAGGTCAGCAGTTCAAACTCACGCGTCGCTCCTCAGAAACCCTACATAGGTTATCAGTTGGACAGACTGGACAGCACTTAATAGCAACACTACATATGGTGGGATGAGGGTATGACACTGTAGGATAAGCACTGGACTGCTAATTGCAAAAGCGTGTGGTTCAGACCCACCAGCTGCTCCTTGGAAACCCTTTACAGGATAACTATGAATTCAACTGACTTGCTAGCACTTGACAACAACAACACTAAACATGGTAATATTTGTGTATGATACCACCACTTTTCTGTTGGTTTGTCATTGTAGTGATGTGAGTGTTGCTGTGAAGCTGGAAACTGTGCCACCGGTATTTCAAATGCAACAGGGTCATCCATGGTGTAAAGGTGTCAGTTGAGTTTCCAGGCTGAGGTGACAAGAAAAAAAGACCTGGTGTTCCAGTTTTGAAATTGGCCAGTGAAAACTTTATGAGCAACAGTAGAACATAGTCTGATATAGTGCCAGACAATGAGCCTCTCAAGTTTGAAGACACAATATGATTAGGGAAGAGCTGCCTCCTCAAAGTAAAGTTGATCTTAATGATGTGGATGGAGTAAAGCTTTGGGGACATTCATTTGCTGCTGTAGTATAATTTAAAATAAGAAGAAACAACTGCAAACATCCATTAATAATCAGAACATAGAATGCATGAAGTATAAATCTGAGAAAGCTGGAAATTGTCAAAAATGAAATACTCCAAAAGAGATATATTAAGCATTAGTGAGTTGAGATGGATGAGTATTGGCTGTTTTGAACAGCCGACCTTGCAGTTAGTAGTCTAGTGCTTATCCTACAGTACCATGTTGTTGTTGTGAAGTGCTATTGAGTTGGTTCCAACTCATAGGGACATTATAGGGTTTCCAAGGAGCATTTGATGGATATGAACTGCCAACCTTGTGGTTAGCAGTCTAGCGCTTATCCTACAGTGTCACACTAGGACAATGCCATGATTGTTGTTAGGCACTGTCGAGTCAGCACTGACTTATAAGGACCTTATCCACAATAGGACAAAACACTGTGCCAACCATACAATTGTTGCTACATTTAAGACCATTCCTGCTGCCACTGTGCCAGTCCATCTCGTAGGGGTTTTCCTCCTTTTCTCTGACCCTCACTTTGCCAAGCATGATGTCCTTCTCCAAGGACTGGTCCTGGCTGATAATATGTCCGACTTATGAGAGATGAAGTCTAGCCATCCTCACTTCTAAGGAGCATTCTGGCTGTCCTTCTTCCAACACAGATTGGTTGGTTCTTTTGGCAGTCCATGGTGCTTTTAATATTCTCCTTCAACACCATAACTCAAATGCATCAACTCTTTTACAGTCTTTATTCATTGTCTAACTTTCACATGCATATGAGAGTATTGAAGATACTATGGTCAAGCACACCTTAGTCCTCAAACTGACATCTTTGCTCTTGAATACTTTAAAGAGGTCTTGTGCAGCAGATTTGCTTAATGCAATACAATGCCATAGTATGCTTAAAAATCTAGAGGTGTGGCAATTAAAAATTTAAAAGGCAATTAAAAAGACTATGCTATGCCAATTGATCATGGTGTCACCTAAGAAAGAAAAAATAAAAATGGTTGTCAGAAGAGACTCAGGTTTTCAAGGAGTTGCTGGTGGGTTTGAACCACCAACCTTGTGGTTACTAGTCCAGTACTTATCTTACAGTACCACAGAAACAAATGTCTGGAATTATGAGGAAGTACAAGAGCTGAACAGAACATTTCAAATAGCAGCTTGAGAAGACAAGTCAATTATTATAATGAAATATGCAAAAACCTAGAATTTGAAAACCAAAAGGGAAGAACATGTTTAGCATTTCTCATGCTGAATGAACTGATGAAAAAAGCTTCACCTTCTAATATTGAAGGATTCCTTGGCATAATATTGAATGACACAAGAAGCATTAAAAGAAAATGGAAGGAATACAGTCACTATCCCAAAAGGAAATGGTCGATGTTCAACCATTTCAAGAGGTAGCATATGATTAAGAACGAATGGTATTGAAAGAAGAAGTCCAAACTGCACTTCAATCATTGGCAAAAAACAAGGCCCTAGTAATTGAGGGAATAGAAATTGAAATTTTTCAAGAAACTGATGCAGCCCTGTCTATGCCAAGAAATTTGAAAGAGATCCATATTTATGCCATTCCAAAGAAAATGGACCAAATAACGTGGAATGCATCTAACAATATCATTAATATCACATGCAATTAAAATTCTGCTGAAGACAATTCAGAAATGGTTACAGCAAACCCCTGTATGAATGTGATGGAGAGTACAATGGGCAAAGATATTCTCAAACATCTTAAGGCAATGAGTTGCTAGGCCTGGAAGCTCTGGACCACAGTCTCAGGGGATGCCATGATCAACTGGCATAGCATAGTTCAAAAAAACAATGTTCATCTGGGATCTAAAAAGCTCATGAGCAGCAATCTGAGGTGCAACTATTAGTCTCTCCATGTGTGCAAGAAAGAGGAGTAATGAGAATTGAAGATGCTTGGAATCAATTAGTCCAATGGGCCAATGGAACATATGAACATCAGTCGCCATAACTCTGACCAGAAGAACTAGATGGTACCTGGTTACCACTACCAACTGCTCTGAAAGGGATCACATTAGAAGGTGCCAGGTAGACTAGAAAATAATTTGGAACAAAACTCAAAATTATTTTTAAAAGACCAGGCTTACTGGTTAGAAAGAGACTGGAGAAACCCAACACTATGACCTTCAACCACCCTTCAGGTTTGAAAAGGAACTCACCCTCATGGCCCAAATCTCAGCCAAGCAGTAGGGAGATGTATGGGGGGACAACAACACTAGTTTGGTATGCTCAACACGGAATAGATAATAATTGAAAATCAAAAGGGCAACATTTACCTAAGGACAAAATTGAGAAAGGATGGGAAGGTGGGTAGAATAAAAACAGGAAGCACAGGGAGGAAGTGGGATAACTGTTGTTGCATGGGGTGGGGGGAGGTTTGCAATAATTGAGATGAAACCAAGTGTATGATTTGTTGAATGCAAATGGATGCTTTTTTCTGTAAATTTTCACTCAATTTACAGTAAAAATTAAAAAACCACACCAACAAAAAAAAAACACAGAGAAAAGAAAAGTAGTTGCAGCAATATATCCACAGGGAGCTGCCAGAAATTCAAGATGGATTCAGAAGAGGTTGTAGAACTAGAGCTATCATTTACTGAAAGCATAGAATACCAAAATATGTTTATTGGTGATTTATTTATTATGAAAAGGCATTCATTCAAATGTGTAGATCACAATAAACTGAAGAATGGGTATGGTAATCCAGAACACTTAATTGTGCTCATGAGGAACCTGTACACAGGCCAATAGGCAGTGATTCCAACAGAAGAAGGAGATACTGAATGGCTGAAAATCAGAAAAGGTGTGCACCAGTGTTATATTCTTTCACCATATTTACTGACTGTGTAAGCTGAGCAAATATTCTGAGAAGCTGGGTTACATGAAGAAGAATATGGCATCAGGATTGGAGGTAAACTCATTAAACCTGCGATAGTTACATGACACAATCTTATTTGCTGGAAGCAAAAAGTACTTGAAATACGTACTGATGAAAATCAGTCT